GTAATGATAATGATGATGATAATGATAATAATTATGATGATAATAGTAAAGGATAATGGTATAGACAATGATGGTAATAACAATGATAATGATAGTAATAATAATAACAGTAAAGATGATAATAAAGATGATGATGATAGTAATATTAATGATAATGATAACAATAATAATAATGATAATGATATCAACAATAATAATGATAAAGATAACAATGATGATAATGATAGCAATAACAATAATGATAATGATAATGATAACAGTAATGATAATAACACTAAGAATATTGATAATAACAACACTACTGCTACTACTACTAATGATGCTAATAATAATGATCATACCAATAATAATGATAATAATGATAAAGACAATCACAAAGACAATAATAACTACTACATCAATAATAATAACAACAATAATGAAAACGATTACAATGACAACAATGATAAAAATACTAATAATGAGGATAATGATAATAGTCATAATAGTAATGATGATAATGATAAAAGTAATGATAATAAAGATAATGATGATAATAATGATAATGATAGTAGCAATGATAATGATACTAATGATAATGTTGATAACGATGGCAGTTATAATGATAATGAAAATAATAATGATGTCAACAATGATATTGATAATAAAAAGGATAATGATAATAATGATAATACGATAACAATAGTAACAGTAGTAATATTCATGTTGATGATAATAGTAAGGATAGTGATAACAACAATGAAAATAACAAACATAATAACAACATTATTGTTAATAATAGTGATGATTCATTATAACATCTAATGTTAAGCCGATAATGTTCAGAATAAGGAATAATGATATTAAGAATGAACATAATAGACAAATACTGATACTAACATATACAGTAATGATGCTAATGATAGTGATAACAACACATAATGATGATACCGATTACAATGATAATGATGAACAAGGCTGATGCTAATGATAAGGAATTTAAATTCACTAATGAAAAATACCATAATTTTGCTACACTTTTCACTCTAATAAACGAAGTCGGTCGACGTCTGCATTTTCTTTGACTATCGTATAAACCTAGAAGTAATCGTTAGTAATTATTCATTCAAAGCTCTCCCTCCCTCTTCCCTCCTTTCTCTCCCTCCCTCTTCCCTCCTTTCTCTCCCTCCCTCTTCCCTCCTTTCTCTCCCTCCCTCTTCCCTCCTTTCTCTCCCTCCCTCTTCCCTCCTTTCTCTCCCTCCCCCTCCCCCTCTTCCTTCCTCCCCTCCCTCATATTTCCGCCCTGCCCTTCCTCTCTCTTCCTTCCCCTCCCGTTCCCTTCCTTCCTCCCGTCCTCCTCGCCCTTACTCTCTCTGCCTACCCCCTTCCTCTTCCTATTCCCTCCTTCTCCCCCTTGCCCTCCGCTTCCCCCCCCTTTCCCCTCCCTCCCTCTTCCTCCCCCCTCCCGCTCCCCTCCTTCCCCCCTGCCCGTCCTCAATCTTCCTTCCTCCTTCCCCCTTCCCCCTTCCCCTTCCCTTCACCTCCCCTCTCTCCCTTATACGTGCAAACAATATCGATCCCTTTATAATACCCCCGTTTCCGAAGACACTTATCCGTTGATATGTAATCACCCTAGACACGCATATCATTTAACGTAGCGATGGACCTTCCTCAAGTTCAGTTAGGTTGATGTGGAAAAGGTATGAGAATTGAGTATCTTCTCAATAGATGTATTTGACCGGTTTTCCTGACGTGGATATATTCGAAACCGGTCTATTATATCTCTTGTATGGTGAAGGTATTCATTCTCATTCACACCTTTTCTACATTTGCCAACGTGGCATGTCATACCAATGGGACGCGTTATAGGTAAATTAATACATACTCACACATACGCATGTAAATATATATGGAAAGGTAAATGGATGGATGCGTGTCAGTGTTCCCATTGCCACACAAACACACGTATATTGAATATCAAATTAATGGATAATGGATATCACACTGCTGGATGTGGTAATGACGTCATAGAACGTTAATGTTAATAATGAACGTTTCAGTGATCGGTACATCATTAACATTTCTTACTAACGTTGTCAGCATTATCGTCGCAATTATTTTCCAGGTCATTATCAGCACTAATAGGTCTACCATATTATCACTACTATCAGGTTATCAATAGACGCAGTGCTGTGTTTGTATTCATTTTTATTTCTGTTACGATGTCAAAAGCTGTCTATATGTTTGACCATTTATCTCTCTATCTGTCTATCTATCTATCTATCTAACTATCTGTCAGCTTACTTGATTACCTACCTGTCTTTCTATCAGTCTATCTATCTATCTATCTATTTATCTGTCTATCTATCAATCTATCTATGGTATTGATCTATGCACTATCTATATAACAAATAATTTCTTTAATTGGGAGCGTTACTCAATGAAAAAAAATTTAATATATATATATAATATATATATATATATATATATATATATATATATATATATATATATATATATT